TGTATCTCAAAAACCAGAGCTAATAAAAATTTTTCATTGTTATTTTCGTTTTTATCACCCCAAAATTAGTAGAAATTGACTAATTTAGTGTAGGAAACATTCAAAAAATATTTTTTTGTTGTGTTGTGAAATTATCCAAATTTTTTTTATTTCCGCAATTTTTGTGTCTAGTGTACATACTTCATTTATCTTTTTCTTAAAGACAAAAAATGATATCAAAAGATGTAATACGTATGAACCCCATTTCATGTGTCGATCGATTATTAAGCCAAGGTATTTAATTGAGGTACTTTCTGGAATCAATAAATTTTGTTCAACAATTAATGGACCTCGGTAGTTTATTGGCTTAAGCTAATGTTTATCAGTATAGCCTGGACATTTTCCATAAAGTAAAACTTGAACAAAATGTATACTGGAAGTTCAAATTTGAAATAGGGTGGTGAACATTTGATAATTAGTCGAACATATTACAAAAATATATGAATATATTATGGAATGAATTCGATATTTAANCGAAAAGGTTGATTGGTTGGTTATGAGATTTTCTCCATAAAAGATTCGCGGTTTCGAAAACCGTTTATAGTGAAAATCTCAGAGTCAACTGTATTAGTCTAGTGTGTGGAGACGTATTTTCGTTGAATTCATTCTATGCCATTATCGATTTTGTAAATTTGTGAGCAGGGTCGTACTCGCTGCTTTTGCAACACTGCTCTCGTCTTCAAATTATTCCATCTAGACTAACCAATCTGACGTAACTATATGGTAAAGTAATTAAGTAATTGTATTGGTTTTAGTATAAATAAACACGAATTATTGTAAAATTGAAACGAACAGTTTCACTAATTCTACATATAGGTGTAGAGCTTGTTTTACAATTTTAAAAGAAAAAAAAAACAAAAGAAATTCGTCGACTCTCTGCCGTAAAAGGCGGGTTGGCTGTCCTTGTTCATCTTTCAATGCCTGAACCACTGTGCATACTGTTTTCAGCGAGTGCATTGGCTTAGGATGTGGGGGTTGAGCAAACTGGCCATGGGATGCCTGCTTCCACGTAGCCCCGCTGGATACGGGAATGACAGAATCACTTGTGGTTCTTCGAGATACCGGG